TTCCCTGGCTCAGACCTTCGATTTTCAGGGTCTGATGAAAATCTGATGAGTGGGGGGTGGGCACCCGGGGCAGCTGCCCAGGGATGGCTTCATGCGATCTCTTGGTGGACATCAGCTGCTGTCTAGCTGGGGCTCTGTTACTTCTATTCTTCAGGTCTGGTGCCTTTTTATGCCATTGCATATGGAATTGTTTAACAATTTCATTTTCAAATTGTTCATAGAAATATAGGAGGATAATTGAATTTTGTGTGTTGATCAGATATCCTGAAACCTGACTAGATTCACTGAATCATTTTCAGTAGTTTGTTTTGTAGATTACATAGGGTTTCCTCAATACATAATCATGCTTGCAAATAATGGCTTTCTTCCTCTTTTTCCCCTCCCTGCCCCCATCTTGCTTTCTGATTTTTATGCTGTTTCTTTTTCTTGCCTTATTGCATTGGCTGGGATCCCAGTACAGTATGGAACAGAAGTGTCAAAAGTGACCTTAAGTATGGTGTTGTTAGTTTTCTATAAATGTATTCAATCGGGTTGTGGAAGATCCCCATTATTTCTGGTTTGCTAAGAATTTTATCGTAAGTACCTACTGAATCTTTTTTTCCTGCTACTGTAGGCTTGGGGTTTTCTTTGTGGGAAGGTTTTTATGTACAAATTTAATTTCTTTAATAGGGATGGGGTTATTTGCAGCTTCCCCCTTATTTCCAGTATTTCAAGAAGAGGCGATTTTAATGTTACATTGTGACAACCAAGACAAACCCTGGTTTCTAATAGAGAAATGGCAGATTTCTGGTTGGGGACAGCCGGTGTGCACAAGGGTCTCAGAACGTTTCATTGTGCCTGAAGGTGAGGGGCCTCTTCAGGACGAATGGGGCCTGTGGAGAAGACAAAGAGCCAGTTTGAAAGAGGTGGCGTTGGTGAAATCTGGGACAACCTGAGCATCAAAAAGAATGAGGTCCATAGTTAACTGGGATACCTCTAATCCGTTTACATCCATGAATCCACAGTGACACTCTAAGGAAAGAGAACGCCTGAAAAACTCACCTCAGGCAGATCTTAAACCAACTCTTTATTTTGAATATTGGCAGCCAAAGGGAAAAATCGAGCATTATCTTGTTTGTGCTAGAAAGACGAGGCCAGTATAACCAAATGGCTCTAAGTATGAAGAAAGACCTCCTTTAAAAAGGAATGTTGGGTTGGGCATGGTGTCTCATGCCTGTAGTCCCAGCACTGGATTACAGTGTTAGGGAGGCCGAGGTGGGTGGATCACCTGAGGTCAGGGGTTCGAGACCATCCTGGCCAACATGGAGAAACCCCCTCTCTACTAAAAATACAAACATTGGACAGGTGTGGTGGCACACGCCTGTAATCCTAGCTACTTGGGAGGCTGAGGCAGGAGCATGGTGAAACCCCATCTCTCCTAAAAATATAAACATTAGCTGGGTGTGGTAGCGCATGCCTGTAATCCCAGCTACTGGGAGGCTGAGGCAGGAGAATTGCTCGAACCCAGGAGGCGGAGGTTGCAGTGAGCCGAGATCGCACTGTCGCACTCCAGCCTGGGCGACAGAATGAGACTCTGTCTCAAAAAAAAAACACAAAGGAATGTTGGCCCGTAAACGTGAATGAGTGACTGAGTTAGAAAAATCATCTTTTCCAAACACCAGGGCAAGGTTAGCCCGTGAGTGTTTAGACCGTGAGGTGTAAAATCACGGACCAGGGCAAGGACCAGGGCAAGGTTCACGGACCAGGGCAAGGTTAGCCCGTGAGTGTTTAGACCGTGAGGTGAGCAGCCGCTGGGGACAGGGCCCTCATCTGGTATCGGCGGCAGGGAAGGCTGTGAGCCTTCCCTCGTGTGGGCATCAGCCTCAGCTTCCCAGCAAGGGTCACCCAGGGAGCGTATTTCCTGGTGGGAAGTGCAGGAGCTTCCCATCCCCTGGATACGTCACAGCCGAAATGTTCACCACGAATCCAGCAACCTGTGGAGCTGATTTCCATTTCTAAGGAATGAGGGGGGATGGGAAAGAAACCCCCAGGACAGCAATGCCAGGCCCAGTGGGGACCTTTCCCGGACACCCGGCCTTCTCGGCGGCGAGGCAGGTGGTGGGACCGACAGGTCCGGTGGGGACCTTTCCCGGACACCCGGCCTCCTTGGTGAGGCAGGTGGCGGAACTGGTTCCACGTCTGATCTTCCTTAGACAAACCTGCCCTCAGAGGAAATTGTGGACAACTGGAGAAATTGGAAAATGTACTAGATATTGGCTGATATTGAAGGATAGATAGATGTTTTGTTAAGTATGGTAATTCGATTTTGGCTCTGTGGGGAAATGCTCTTATTTTAAAAAGATGTGCACTAGAGAAAAAAGAAACAGCATGTGGCAAATACATCCATGGATGTCCTCCTGGTTTAACTGGTTCTGTGGCCTTGGTTTCTGCCTTCCCGATGGCACCTCTGTGATTGGAGTCCAGACCCCGGCATCAGACCGGCCTCCGCAGGGAGGAGCTGGGGTGCCCAGGCCAGGCCAGGCAGCTCCATTGCCCACTGCCTGGGCCTCACCTCATGAACGCCAAGCACTGTGGCAGGCATGGGCAGAGCCAGGCGGCTTCACGCCCACACCAGCAGCTTCTCAGTCCCTCGCCCTCCACTCCCACGTCAGGCAGTTCTGGAGCACGGGAAGCTCTCTAGGGGCTGCTGGGCAGCAGGACCTGGTCTGAGTTTGACTGAGTCTGCCTGGGTCTTCACATGCCTGCCTGAGTGTGAGCGTGTCTGAGTCTTACCGCAGAAACATTAAAATGCTTGGTGACAGGTGTTAGGAGACTTCTGGGACCTGCACTGCAGCGCTTTTCTAAAACTGGGAATATTCTGAGTCTCAGAGCTTGTCTGGATGAGGAATCCCGGGGCCCGATTCTAGACAGGAACCTGAGGCACCAGCAGCAAAGGACGTGGCCCAGCCTTGGAGCCCCAGGCAGCTCGGCCGGGAGTGCGCCCTCCTACCTTCCCAACCCAGTCGCAGTTACGAAAAAGGAACAGTGCACGATTCCAAAGTTATATTTAAATGCCAACTGCATTGAATTTGGCAACATTTGCCAGGAGTTATGGAAAGCCTTTCAAAGATTTAGCAGGACAAAAACAAACTAGCAAGCGAGCATTGTCAGGTGCTTTAAAAGTAAACAGGCTTGAGCAATGGTGTTTGTTTTAGAAAGTTGACGAGCCTTGCAGGTGGATCATGGGAGTGCCTGTAATTACTGGGTATTCAGCTAAGATCCCCTCTGGTCTGTGCCTCATAAAAAGAAGGCATATTCCGCTGAAATTCAGCTCCTGGAGCTAAGATTTCAGAAATGCCCTCTGTACACCAGGTAAATTGCAAAGGGGCAAGGTGTGAGGAGGGATTCCGGGCTCAGGACCCTGGGGGCTGGCGTCCCTCTCCTCTCCCGGAAAGCTGGCCCAGCCATCCCTCTTCCCCTTGCCCCTCTCCCACCTTCCCTGGTCTTCTTCTCTCCCTGTCTCTTTTCTGCACTGGGCGCCTTCCAGCTTTGGGAGCTGGGCCCAGCTTTGCCTGAGGATTAACGACAAAGAGAGTGAAGATTTGGCTGGCAGACTGCCCGCTGCCCCTGTGGCCGGGGCCTCTACTGTCAATGGGAAGGTGACTGCATCGTTGGAGAGTAATGGGGTCATGAGGCAAGCAGGAGGGGGTGGTTGTTCTGGAAGGTTCTGCAGGGCCAAACTGTGATGAAGATCGCAGCATGAATACGCCCTTCCATCCTCCAAAAGTCCAGTGTGACACCTCAGTTTGTTACGGTGTTGACAGTAATAGTGTTCTAAGGACATCATCAGATAAAATCACTCCTCCACAGCCTGGGGCTTTGCAAAGATTAGCGAGTGGTTTCTGTTCATGAACCATCTTCAGGGCTGTCAGTCGCCTCCCTCCCTCCCTGTGAATCCCCGAGTCACCAGCGGTGAGGGTGGGGCCCGGTGCTGACCTGTGACCCCAGCCCTGGACATCTCCATGGCCGGTGTCACGAGGGCCCTGGCTGCGCTTCTGCCCACTGACTGGCAGGCCAGGCCCCCAGGCTTTGTGTCAGGTTCTGATCTTTCTTTCCGCACGTGCTGTCTGTCCAGTAGTTCATGGTCAGCCCCAGAAATGCACACTTGTGATGGCGTGGGCCTGCGCAGAACCTGCACGTGGTACAGCAGGGACCTGGCTATGCTATCCTCTGGTTAGTGCTTCGTTGGGTTACCCGTGACCAGCAAAGCTGGGGCTAATTTCCTTGTCTTTGACAACATGACCAGAGGGTCCAAACAGAACAGAACCCGAACCCCATAAACATCTTCGACCGTGAGACTCCACGGCAGCCCCAGCCAGCCGAGGCCCCAGCACTTCCGTTTTCCTGAGGGCTGATCCTTGCGTCTGTAAAAGAGTGCGCGCGAGGTGTGGGGTGCGGGTACAGGAGTCAGAACTGGCCTCGGCTGCAGCCAGCACCCTCCTCTGTCCAGGAGACCACCCCAGGTTCTCGATCGTCTGGCCTCTGGGCAGTGTGGCGGCCCCTCTCCCTCCCTCTGACCTGTCCAGCGTGGTTGCAGCCTGCAGTGGGGCTCCCAGGGCCCGTGCCGAGCACTAGGAGGTGAATCCTGGCTCCAACAGCCCTCGTGGCCTTCGGAGATGCTGCCCTTTCTAAACCTGAACTTTTTCAACTGTAAAAATGAGGATATTTAATTTTCTGAGATGTCTCAAGTACTAAATATGAACTAAAGGAATTTTGGAAAAGGACAAAGCTTTAGCAGTATAAGGCATGTCCTGAAGTTGAAACTTATGTACATACTTTGATCAAAGGTGAAATAAAATTGCATTTAAATCTGCAGGTCGGAGGTGGTCAGGCAGTCGAAGAGTTCCCTGAGATGCAGTGGTTTCTTTACATGGCTTGTTGCAAGTTTGTAACATCATGGCAAAGGTTTACTACATATGCATCTTAAAGATAGGAAGAAAATTTAGCAGGAAGCATTCAATCCAATTGACTTAGGTTTTATTGGGCACCAGCTATGTGCTGGAGAACCCTGGGACTCTGCTGCAGCGCGGACCCCGAGGTGGGGTTGTTACGGGGTCAGCGAAGTGTGGGCCATTTCCATGGTGAAGATCCTGTGAACTCTGGCGTGGGTGCTTGGACCCCACGCGTGGTGTTCTTTCTCCATGACCCTCCGGAAGCTCACGCAGAGCCTGGAGCTCGCAGGCCCTCAGGCTGCCATCTTGTCCTTGGTGTGGAGGGGCTCAGCGACCTCTGGGACCCCGTCTGGGCACCTCCCTGGGCCCTGCAGCATCTTGTTCCTCCCCTCCAGCTGCTCAGCCCATCCCACGCGGAGCCTGGGGCAGGGTGACAATTTCGTCATTGTGAGTCAAGCTCTTGGGACTGAGTGACAGCCAAGCCCGTGTCTCTCAGCACCTGGGCACCTGTGAGAACAGGAGTGTGACACTCGCCGCTGGGGGGGTGTCACTGTGTCCCTGCCCAGCTGGCAGCTGTGACCTTGCTGGGTCTCCCAGGGCCCTGGTTGGCCTTGGCTCAGGCTGCCGCCCAGTGTGGGGTCTCACTCAGGACCCTCCTCACAGGAGAGGAAAAATGCCTGCCCCGGGAAGCAGCCTGGGCCCCCACTTCTGGAAGCTTCCGAGCCCCAGAGAGACTGCGCCTGAGCTCCAGCTCTTGCAGCCTCTGCCTCTGCTCTGCTCACCGAGTGGCAGGTGCCCTCACAGGACGGGGCGGCCTCTGTGGCTGCCTGGGGCCTGCCTGCCTCCCTGCACCCTGCCCGGCTGCCTGTGGGTGCCCACTTCCTTCTCGCTTGCCGGCCCGCCTCACCTGCCCAGCCCGGCCACAGTGGACGGTGATATGTTGTGATCTCAGCCCCACGCAACGGGGGGACCTGGCGGCAGGAATGGCCTGGTCAAAGTGGTCCAGGCTCCCCGAGACCTGGGCAGATCCCCACCTGCCCGTGGCTGCCGCTTCCTTCAGCCTCAGGTGTTTTTGGCTTTAGATGTTGGAGAGTGGGGTGGGTGCCCGGCTCCAGCCAAGGGTGAGCTGTGTCCATGAGGACACTTGTCCCAGATGCCCAGGACCCGGGTGACGATGGCGCTGCTGAGTGGCAGGCGGTATAGCCCGGATGGCTGGGCCCCACGGTGATGGTACCCGAGCGACAGCTACCTTCACCCTTGCCAGGCCATGGCTGCTGACTGGTGGGGCCCAGGACAGCTCCAGGCATGAGGGGGTCAGCTGGGCAGGGCATCAGCAGCTGCTGCTGTCCCACAGACTTGGTGCCTCTGGGCCTGGAGTCCTCGGCCCTCACGGCTGGCCGCCCATCCCAGAGAGGCTGCCAGAACAGCCAAGCCCGTGGTGATGGAACCAGCGGCCTCTGTCCGTCCACAGGGGACCGGGGTGTCCCGAGCCAGGGGCTGTGGATGGCCAGTCTCCCACATGAGCCAGCTCCTTTCTCACGGCAGCTTCCCAGAGTGGGCCTGGCCCATGGGCTCACATACGGGACCCTCTCAGCTTTCTGGGCTTCATGCAGGGAGGAAAGTTAGGCTACTCTCTAACGGGAACCCTAAGAGTGACCTTAAAAGTGGTGGTTGGCCCCGTGGCCTGGGGAGAAACGGGCTATGTGGGTGGATGGAGGGGAGTTGTGCAAATGGAGGCTCTGCCGGGCCCTGAGAGAACCCAGTGCCTGCCTGGGACACCAGCCTCCACCTCAGGGGCCGGAGGAGGCAGCGCAGACACAGTCCCAGGGCCTGAGCCCACTCCTGGGACCTGCACCTGGGCAATGGCCAGAGGACACCAGGGTACATGGCACATGCAGAGGCACGCGGAGGCACACGCAGGCACGCGGAGGCACGCGGAGGCACCGGGAGGCACGCGGAGGCACGCGGAGGCACGCGCAGGCACATGTCCGGGAAGCACAGGGCAGGGTCGAGGCAGGGCCTGTGGGGCAGGCCCTTGGCGGCGGGGGGGCCTCTCCTTCTCCATCTGCCGAGTGCCTGCCTGGTGCTGGGCTCTGTGCTGGGTCCATGTCTGTAGCTGGGTAGCTGGAGAGTGGGGAGGGGCACCCTCAGGCTCTGGGGGCCGCCTCAGGCTGAGGAAGGGGCACCACGGCTCTCTTGCTTGGGGCTTGAGCACTAAGGGCTGCCTGGAGCCTCTGGAAGCGCCTGCTGTGTGCCGGCCAGTGTCTTGCAGCAAATGAGGAGCTCCGCTCCCCATCCAGCTGTCCCTGAGCAGTGGCTACACCCTGGGTCGGCTCAGGGTCACCCACTCAGCACCCACAGACCCCTGGGCTTGGCCCTAGGAGAGAAGGGCGTGCTGGCTTCGTATCTGCCTTCCTGAGCGTGTCTGCTAGGAGGAGGAAGGGCGCAAGTACGGATACGTCACTCAAGGGCAGTGACCTCAGAAAAACAAGCCAGAGAAAGACATTTCCTTCTGGAAAGTTCCTGTGATCCTGGATGGGGTGTCAGGGAGATGGCAGGGGGAGGGTGTGTGGGTGTTGGGGTGTGTGTGTTGGGTTGTGGGTGAAAGGATTGGGTGAAGGGATGTGGGTTTTGGGATGTTGGTGAAGGGGGTGTGGGTGAAGGGGGTATGGATGAAGTGGGTGTGTGTGTTGGGGTGTGGGTGTTGGGGTGTGTGTGTTGGGTTGTGGGTGAAAGGATTGGGTGAAGGGATGTGGGTTTTGGGATGTTAGTGAAGGGGGTGTGGGTGAAGGGGGTATGGATGTTGGGATGTGGGTGAAGGGGTGTGTGTGTTGGGGTGTGGGTGAAGTGGGTGTGCATGTTGGGGTGTGGGTGTTGGGGTGTGGTTGAAGGGGGTGTGGGTGAAGTGGGTGTGTGCGTTGGGGTGTGTGTGTTAGGGTGTGTGTGTTGGGGTGTGGGGGTTGTGGTGTGTGTGTTAGGGTGTGGGTGAAGGAGGTGTGGGTGTTGGGGTGTGGGTGAAGGAGGTGTGGGTGTTGGGGTGTGGGTGTTGGGGTGTGTGTGTTAGGGTGTGGGTGAAGAGGGTATGGATGTTGGGATGTGGGTGAAGAGGGTATGGATGTTGGGATGTGGGTGAAGGGGTGTGTGTGTTGGGGTGTGGGTGAAGGGGGTGTGGGGGTTGGGGTGTGTATGTTGGGGTGTATGTGTTGGGGTGTGGGTATTGGGGTGTGGGTGTTGGGGTGTGGTTGAAGGGGGTGTGGGTGAAGTGGGTGTGTGCGTTG